AGAGGGAGAACACCCCAAGGCATCTGTCAAGAGATTTAAACAAGTTTGCGAAGGCATACTGCATTAGATTCCGAAGGTCCAGAGCATAGATATCTTTTAATTTCTGCTGTGGTTGGAAATATTCTTCCTGATACAATAAAGAGGCAAATCCAAAACAGTGTAGTTGGTTGGGATGATCAGTGTCTAAACGTTACAGTAGAAGCAGTCACACAATTCTTTGAAAAGAGCTTGCAAGAAAACAAGAGAAAAGATTAAAAGAAGTCCTTGCCTTGCAGCTTCAATCAATACAGAAACAAAGGCAGGCCTCGAGAATGACTCAAAGTCCTCTCCTGGCTTTGGTGAACCATGGGGCTTTTCTAGTTTGCCTTCAAAAGTTTGCAGATATTGCAAAAAACCTGGGGCATTGGAAAAACTGCTGTCCTGTACTTAAAAGGGAGAAACTCTCCCTATAAACCCGGCACTCTCCGTAGGCTCCTTTTTCCCTCCCTGCGGGACAATACCCCACTGACTGATGGGCTCGGCCCATCCTCAGTAGCACCCCTGAGCCCACCATAAAGCTTTCAGTAGATCGGGAACTGGATTTTAAAATTGACACTGGTGTGACTTTTTCTACTTTCTGCTTAGAGGAAGTATCTCTACCTCTTACCTCTGATTCTATTCAAGCTGTTGGAGTCTCTGTGCAACTTATTTCATTGCCCATGTTTTAGGCCACCCCAATATCGATAGGCCCCCGGAACACCCACCACGCCTTCCTAGTTTCTGACTCCTCACCACCAAAGCTTTCAGAAGAGATTTATTATGTAAGTCAATGCCACTGTACGATGTCATAGAGAAGCTAAAAGGGCATCCTTGCAAAAAAAATAACAGGAAAATGTCTAATCCCACAATTTCCCCTATAACAGTTAAAGAGCAATCCTATCAGTTTTCTCGATAACAGGTACCCCCTGGGAGTTCTGTTTTGCACAACATCTAAAAAGAGCTGGGCAGGCTGAAAAGAGATGTAAATTTTTGTCCTCCA